CTAGTTAGTTAATAGTTGTTTTCGGTTATTAGCTATTTTACTTTCGGTTGAACTAGGATACTATAAATAGAATAAGTTTGGGAAAGGTAAAGAGGCTTTTGGGACTTTTGGACTGGGACTGGGAAAGATTAAGAGTTATTCTCTTCTCTTTTGGGAGGCTTCGGCCTTTGTTTCTGCTTCTCTCTGTAACCGATCTTCTTCATTAAATAAGAATTCAGTTTGAATTTCTTGTTAATCTACTGTAATTGTTCTGTACTGGTGAGGTCTCTATCAACCCGTTATAGATAAAGTTTTATATTTATAATACTTACCCATTAAGTTATTCGAAACTTTCATTATTTATAAATATGACCTCGTGCCTACATTTTATAAGGGGTTTAAATGAACCCATATAAAAAGCTAGTTATATAATGTGTTTTTGTACTAGTGAATGGAGTGAGTTTCAGCCCTGATTACTCCAGGCCCCCTAGCCCCTCTCCCCCAGACCCCCTGGAGTAAAAAAAGAGGTAAAACAGGATAAAGTTTGGGGAACATATGGAGTACTATTTATATATGTTGTATAATTAATTAAACCTAATCATTTTTATTTGTCCAAAAGTCCAAAACTCCTAATTGTCTGAATCGTGTGCTATTTTTTGAATTTGAAATCTACGTATATTTAATAGATAGGTCATTGGAAGAATCAGTTTCATTTTAGCTCTTTAAAGTCAGAACAAGACTTTAATTTGATATCCGAAAGTTAAAATTAGACTTTTTTTCATGGCGAAACGTTATACAACATCAGTCAAGTTTTGTGTGACATGCTTGATTAAAAATATGTTTTTCTCAACGTGTTGAATTTGTGACCTTTCACTCTCTCATTCACTTACACCGCAACTAAGAATTCCAACGAATATGAAATTATGTAAAGCTTACTATGTTTGGATATTAACAGACTTTAATTACGTTCATGTTTGACGGAATAAATATAAAAATTGATCTGAAATTAATGCAAAGAACTTGCAATTCCTTCTTGCGGACCCCTTTGAAAACCAATAGCTTGCCTCCATGAGACTAGTGATTGAATCCACAGATCATTTAGATGTGTGCTGCTCTAGTGAATCTTGTATTCATCACTCTGATTGAAGTAAAAAATAAGTTTTCAATTCCAAACAACTTCTTGGACTCTAAGACGTTGATTCAGGAGATGAACATGATGATACTTCTTAATAAAATAAATACTCCGTATTGGGTTACAACTTACAAGAATACCATAAAGAATGATCTATTCTCCATGCAAATCCAACCTAGAAGAAAACGTTGCACAAAAACCTTACGCACTATTGCCTTGCTATGCTATTGAGTAAACCTAGCTAGCTAGAACTCTTGCATTCTTTCCTTTTACACAATTATTCTTTCCTTGTATCCATATAAAAACTCTTCTCTACTTTTCTTCTCCCCTCCCTTCTTCTCTCTTGCATCTTTTTCTTTTCACACAACCCCTCACCTCCCCTTTCTCTCTCTTTTCTCTAAATCTTGATTTCTTCTCCATTTCAAGATCTCTTTTTTTTTAAGATTTCTCATTTTTACCATCTTTTCTCCCTCCAACTTTCTTCTCTTGCTTCTCTCCTCTTCTGCCTTTATTTTTCGTTTCAAATGCAAGAGCTACAGTAATAGGACGAATGGGGAGAGCTCGGTCACCAAGAAGCAACAACGAAGGTGCAAACCAAGAAGTTTTGAATGACTTGAGCAAATCTTCTTTTCTTGAATTTGGTTTCTTGATTTTTTGGTGTGTTTTCGAAATAAAAAGGGTTGTCTGTCTAAGTGTAGACAACTTGTCAGTGCAGTGTTTGTATACTCAAACATGATTTCATAGTTGGTAAAACATTGAACTAAAATGCATGTCGCACAGACAAGTCATATGTTTGTCTACATAGAACCATTGTCTTTATGCACATGCAAGTATTGGTATAACTCTATTTTATAGTAAATTTTGATGAGTTTAGTAATTGTTAATGTGGTTATATAAAAGTGTTCGAAGATATGGTTGTACGAAGTATTTGTTAATGTACAAATGAATTTGGTGAAAACAAAACATGTATACTATTGTCTGTGTGGACAGACAAAATAATGTGTTGTGTTTTGTATTGTTTTGAACATGTATACTTCCTCCGTTCTTAAATAAATGCAACGGTCAACATTTCACACTTGCCGAGACACAACTTTGACCATTATTATAAATTATTTTGTATTAGTAAAAAAATTAAAAAAATTAGATTATGAAAATTTACAATGAGACAAGTTTAACAATATTTTTTTCATAAAATGATATTATTACATTAATAAATAAAACGTAGTCAAAGTAGAACATGTGAATAGTGTAAAAGTCAAAGTGTTGCATTTATTTAAGAACGGAGGTAGTATTTGTTTGGAATAACAGATGAAGAATAAAAAAATATTTGTATTAAAGGCCCCGATGTTGGTATGAAGTTCACTAGTAAAGAAGCTGTTTGAATAAGTCTAAATAGACTATGATAGGTGAATCACAACCGTTGAACAACAATGGTTAGACAAGTGTGAATGATAAGTGGTTGGACTTAAACCTTAGTCTGTTGTGATTAACAACGATATGTAGTTTTGAACCATTTTTAGAAAATTGAACATTAATTTCCCGTATTAACGCAATGTGTGAATGATAAGGAGTTGGATTGGGACATTAGTTTGTTGTGAATTACCATTATTGGCATTAAGTACACACATGCAGACAGACAATAGTGATCAAGGTTCGAAATTGCGTATGGCGTAATCGTGGCGTTTTTATTATTATTGCGTATTGCGTAAGTCTCATTGCGCAATGAGGCGTAGACGTGAAGCGTAATACATTTATATATAAAAATATACTGCCTCCGTTCTTAAATAAATGCAACACTTTGACTTCTACACTATTCACATGTTCTACTTTGACTACGTTTTATTTATTAATGTAATAATATATTTTTATGAAAAAAATATTGTTAAACTTGTCTCATTGTAAATTTTCACAATATATTTTATTTTTTATTTTTTTTACTAATACAAAATCATATATATTAATGGTCAAAGTTGTGTCTTGACAAGTGTGAAATGTTGAGCGTTGCATTTATTTATTTAAGAACGGAGGAAGTATATAAATATAAATATATATATATATATATAATTTTACATATACATATTAATAAAAAAGTAAATGATGCACCAAAAATAATGAAGTATAAACTGCCAGCTGCCAACCCAATTCATTTTTTAATGGACACCACCACATGGTCAATTTTTTTTTCCTTTTCTAAATTCAATTTGCTTTAATTCTTATCTCACACCCACTATCTGACAATCCCACTATCCCAGTATGGGCTATCCAAAGTTTATAATCTCAAATCCACTTATCCATGCCACCACCGTCCTGCAACCTCGTTCTACTCAATAAACTATAATACTTCGTATAAGTTTTGTAATATGAAGTGTTTTGTAATCAAAGAAATAATAAACACATAAGAGGAGAAGCAGATGAAACTTGATGCGCAGGTCTTCTGCAAACCTGTGATGCGCAGATGATGAAGCAGCAACGGAACTTGAACTTCTCCCATCTTCTGTATGAAGATTGACAAAGGGTGAAGCAGCAACGCAGGTCGGGAATAGCCTACATGCTCGGTGCCCAACTAAAAAAATAAAAGTGGGCCCTACCGCTAGCTCCACATATATATCTACTTAAACTCTTAAACTTTCAAGGCGGTCGTCTTAGAGCGCCTTATCGCGCATTGCATAAATCGTACGCCACTACGCCATATAGCGCATATTTCTACCCTTCCGCCTTTCGCCATGCAATTCTGCGCCTTGCTATACAAATTACCTGAGGCGCGCCTCATTGCGCTATTGCATTGCACAATTTGAAACAATGATAGTGATAACCAGACAAACATTATTTTTATGCAGAGAGACAATAACTTTACAATACTGTAGACAAAAGATCAACATACATAAATGAATAATTGTACATGTAATGTTTGCAAAAACTTACACATGTTCAAAAAACTCAATCGAGTTGTTCAACATTGTACAACATTGAACATGTAGCATTGTACAATATTTGACACATTTCCCCAACTGTAGTATGCAAAAAAATACATGTTCAAAAGATCACAAGTTCAAAACCGACACATTTCTCCAACACTCTATGCTTCAGCGTTCTTCAAGCGCCAAAACCCAATAACAAATTCAAGTCTTTTGTTCGACATGTTGCCGTAGTCATAATCAAGAAGCAATAAATTTGTTTGTCCGGACAGACATCTTATGTAAGTTTCAATCAACTATGAAACCATGTTTAGCTAGATAGATGTTGCACTTCAAATTTGTCTATCAGACCGATAACCCTTTTTCATGTGGAGTTTGGACGAAAAGAATAACAACATATGAGGAAAAAAAGATCATCTCTAGTCTTTCAAGACTTCAATGTTCTAACCTTCGTCCTCTTCTTCCCCGGACGACATATTACCTCTGTCACCACCGTCACCTTCATCATCAACCTTGTCACCATGGTAGTCTCCTCATGTCAAGCCATCCAAAAACAACTCATCACTAAGATCAAATATATCATTCCCCGTGAACTCCATTGAAGAAGATGAAGGAAGGAAGCGTATGATTTGTGTCGTGCACTGGAGTTCCAAATTTTGGCAGAAACGTGAGAGTGAGAGTGGGTATAGAAACGTGAGAGTGAGAGTGGGTAGATGAGAGAATGTGAGATTGAGATACATTTGGATGGGGTAAAAAAGATGTTAAAAAGGGAGGGTTTTTATATGGGGTACATGAGGTATACATTTGGAGTAGCTATACCAAAATTGATTAATTAATGAATTAATTTGCTGTCCTTACTATTTCTCTTTTTTGGCTTTTTGCTCCCATTAATCCATTATATCTCAGCCCCTATTTCAAACATAGCAAAGTGTCCAAACGACCAAAAGAGCCGATGGTTATTTGATCCCTTGTAGGGTTTACAGGGGAAGAAAGTTTGAGAACCAAAACGCGATTTAGAGGAAGTAAAAATTGTTCCTTGAGCTGAAACGAAAGACTTGAGAAAATGAGTACCATGAAGTTTTGCTGTGAATGGTTAGTTTCTTGAAATAATTTCAAATTCTTCTTCACTAGGCATAGTGTGTGTTCACCTAACTATGTTGAACAGCAATAACATTCTGTACCCAAAGGAAGACAAAGACCAGAAGATCCTCCTCTATGCATGTCGTAATTGCGATCACCAGGTACTGCCTGTTCACCGGTCGTATATCTCCGTACTTGAGCCTGTATATCTCGTTCTATGAGTTAGTGGTGAATTATTTTAGGGTTTAGCTTCACATTTAATCATTAAGGACCCAACTTTTATCTACAGCCGTGATTTCTCTCAAAAGTGAAAAGCGTTTTTCTTATTTCATGACCTTTATTGACATCAGAAAAATGTTGAAATGTTGGTACAACAGAAAAATGTAACGGCACTAGGTCAATAGCAATAGACTAGTAAGTTGAAACTATTTTTGTGTGTGTAATTAATACAAAAAAGCCTTTTGTACACACTCTTACTGTTGTACACACTTTTACACAGGCCAGTGAAGGTAAAAGCGTGTAAACAGTAATGTGTGTACAACAAGAATTGTTGTTAATAATAGCAAGAATCTAAAGCATACTAATGAAATCCTTTTGTTCTTTTTATCAAACAGTAAACAACAATTTTTACCAAACCTCTACACAAGCCGCTAATACAATCAGCCAACCTTCCCGACTAAAATAATACGTTATCTGCTGAGTGCTGTTAATCTGTCATCCTCCCACCTGTTTTTCCAAAGAATAAATTTCACTTTTGGCCCTACAAGAATTATAAAAAACCGACATTAGGTCCATTGTTTTTACTATAACCTCTTTTGATACATGGCAATTCTTCCACGTTCACCTTGTCCTTCCTTCTAAATTTCGGGTGCTTATAGTCACTTGTGGTGCGGTCTTTCCTTCTAAATTTCCGATGCTTATGTGCAATAAAAAGTAGTTGTATCAAATATGGGCAAAGTCAAATACATAAACCTAATATGGAATTGATGTAAGAGTTGTAGGATCAAAAGTGGAATTAATTATATTCCATATAACGCCTTTGAGTAATTGTTGGTTGATGCCTGGGAGATTGGGTACTTTGAAGCTAGAAGCCACACTTTTGGCTAGCCTCTTACTACTGTCATATTTATTTTGATGCACTTTCCAATGATGCATAAACAGTGTAAATCTAGGCCATCGTAAATAAATAAAATATCTACAAAATCTATCCAAATAGAAACAGAGAATAAGTAACAAAAGATTTGTCATATACTCCCTCTGTCCCTTAAAACTTTGCCAACTTTCCTTTTTTGGTTGTCCCGTTAACTTTGCCACTTTCCCTTTTAAGTATAGAATATGTGGTTCAAGTTAATTCTTTCTCCTTTGCAGAAGCCTCAACCACTCAGTTTTTACTTTATTAATCCCCGTGACGGTCAAACTTGGGAAAGTTTTAAGTTTTAAGGGATGGATGGAATATCATTTATCACTTGGCAAAGAAGCAATAGTTTGTCTTTGCAAAAAAAAATGCATAATTTGAAATAACAAGGCATGGTTTTGGATATTTATCTTTGTCGTCCCCATATTCTTTATTTTACATGAATAGGTGAAGGGAATTGTTTGCAATAGTGGTTTACTATCAATTCTTTTCCATCAATTCTTTTTTATTGACGTATGCTTAGTTTTAGGCCTTTGTTGTATGCTTGTGTCACTTATATCCAACAGGTATGCTTTGTAATTGTGTTGCATCTCAACCTTTATTATCACTACTATATTTTTTTCCTATTTGGACACTCGGAAATGGAACTGTTTTCCAAGAGGGGAGGTGAATGTTTGTGAATAAATGTGTAGAAAAACTATGCAATAGTAAAACAGAGTAGTATGAAATATATGAACAAATAATCACATGTCCATATGGTTGAGATTTTTTTGAGTGTACTTGAAAGTCTGAAACAAGTCATCATATTCTCTACACAGCTGAATAATTATGTTCATCCCATGACTTTCTGTATAATTTGAAAAGTAGGCATTGCCACCTTAGGTAGAAGAATGCATAAACCATCACAAATCACAAGTTTTATCATCAACATTATTTTGATTAGTAAATACACACGCAGTTATGATTATTCTATTCTAGTTTGGATTTCAGTAGCAATGTTCGAAATTGCGCAATAGTATCCCCTCCTTGAGGCACCCCTTGCTGATTTTCGGCCAAAATGCAATGAAAGGCGTATCCTAATTGACGCCATAGAAAGGCATACGCCTTTTGGGTAGAGACGTATGTTCTAAGGCGGCGCAATAGGGCGAGGTGAAATCGTACGGAATAGAAGGACATTGATTAAATGAAATAATTGAGCCAATAATAATTTCAATAATTGACAATATCTGCTCTATCTCTCGCTTCTCACGTCTCGTTTCTGGTATTTATCTCTGTGTCTCGCCACACTTGTTGAGCATCTTGCCATTGACTCCCGCAATGTAGCTTTGCCACAAGTCACGAGTCGCAACTCCCCCAAGTTATCCAAGGTCTCACTTGTAGGTTTATAATGACTTTGTATTTATTCAACTTCTTTAATTATGTGGAAATCATTAAGTCTTTTGTTTAATTAATGTTTTCATTTACATGTCGTGCTTTTGTTTGTAAATTTTTGGTATGTTGTAAGTTTGTATTGCTTCTATGTCGTAAGTTTCTTTAAATTGCCAATAATTTTAATTGTGTAATTTTAAATTTAATTATATTAAAGATATATGGAGTATATAATTACATTAGAAACATTAAAGTATATGTTGATAATCATAATTTGCATTTATAACTCACTTTATCATTCACGAATCTAATAAACTAAGAATGTTACCTTAAATAATTTGCATGATGTCATGTTTGAACTCACAAGTTACATTACTTTATGACATTACTGTTTGTTTGTTTATGAAATATGTTGTTTTGGTTTAATATTTACTACCTCCGTCCCTTAAAACTTTGCCAAGTTTGACCGGCACGGAGAATAATAAAGTAAAAACTGTGTGGTTGAGGTTTATGTAGAGGAGAGAGAAATAACAGGAATCACAAAATAATTGATTAAAAGGGAAAGTGCCAAAGCTTTTTGGGACGACTTAAAAGGGAAAGTTGTCAAAGTTTTAAGGGACGGAAGGAGTACTTTTTATTATTTCAAAATTTTTATATGCTCAAATTTCCTACAAATTAAGATTTAGGCCTCAGCTTTACGCCTCAATGAGCCACGAGGCTTTCGCAATACCCCAAAACCGCCTAGTAAACGCAATCCACAATTTCGAACATTGTCTGTTAGCCCACTTTTGGCATTGTAAATCCATTAAATATCTGGCTATACAGTAATGTGTACTTCTATCAATTAAATCAACTTCCACTAGAGGATTTTGAATCAAAAATTACTCAGTTAGCCATTAGGATTGCTTGATTATATCGAGTATCTTTGTCTCTCCTTCATTGCTCTTTTTCATCAAAGACATCTAAAACATGGAGGTGATCCATTTTACGTTAGCTTATTTGATTTCATATATGTGTTTGTTTGTATAAATCTGGACTTATAGTTTACTTACCTTTTCCTAGCTCTAGCTTCATCAATAATACTCCAATTTAATATTTGACAGGAGGTTGCTGAAACCAATTGTGTGTACAGAAATGAAGTATTTCATTCTGTTGGTGAGAAAACAGTAATCTTACATGATGTAACTGCAGATCCAACACTCCCTCGCACTAAAGCTGTGACATGTTCTGAGTGTCGTCATGGAGAAGCTGTCTTCTTTCAGGTCTTTATTCATATCTGTATTCCCGGCTTAGTCATGCAGTGGTTCACACTTTTATGCTATTCTTGACCATCACATAGTCTCCCTCTATTCCATAAAATTCTTCCCAATGAGAATAACATGGAAATGTAGGATTGTGGCTGAGTAAGAAAAAGGAAAATGAATGTTAGCCACACATAATTTTCCAAAAAGGGAAATTGGAAGAACTTTTTGCGACATCTCAAAAAGGTCACCACCATCATCATCATCATTACCCCAGTGCCGCAAAGGATCCCACCTACGGTGGGGTAAGAGGGGTCGGATGTACGTAGTCTTACCCCTGTACTAAATCACAGAGAGACTGTTTCCGAATGACCCATAGTGAAAATCGTGTTGAAAAATACATGGACTGACTGTTGCTTCACACTAAAGAAGCGCAGACATTTTAGTGAGCCATTTTACTTTATTCCATCATATTCTCAAGCCAAAAAATAGTGAACCTTTGGCTCCATTGCAAATGATAGAAAATACATCTCAAAAAGGTAAGTGAGAAAATACATCTCAAAGAGGGAGTATAATTTATTAGACCCATGTGCTCCCCCTTGTTCTGCTTGGGGTTAGATTTTTCTTAGTTTCAGTTGTGGAATTTTAAGCTTAGTTGTTCTGCCCTAACTGCTGTTTTCTAGTCTCCCTGTGTGTTTTTAATCCAAACCCTACCAAGCATACCCAGTATGTCCCATTTGGAGGTAAGAGTCCAGTTGGTGTACCGTATGACCGGTATACGGTGAGCACCGTATACCGGCATACGTTTTTGGCAAGCGGAGTATTGAATTCATTATTTTTTATTTCTCCTTTTAAAAAAAATGGTAATAACTTTTTTATTTTTGATCCGATTTTTTAAAATTTATATCAACATTTTTTATTTTTCATGATCTTTCAAATGAGACCAATATTGCCTATGTAATTTTAACATATTAACATTTGCGTGTAAAATATGTAACTTTACGTGTTAAAATATGTAACTCACGTTCAGTCAGGTCAAATGCAACTCGTGTGTATAAATATGTATCTCTACGTGTAACAATATGTAATTTTACGTAAAAAAATATGTAACTCACGTTCAGACAAGTCAAATGCAACTCGTGTGTATAAATATGTAACTCGCGTGTATAAATATGTAACTTTTCGTGTAAAAATATGTAACTTTACGTGTAAATATATGTAACTCGCGTTCAGGCATGTCAAATGCAACTCGTGTGTATATATATGTAACTCGTTTATAAAAAGATGTAACTTGCTTATAAAAAGATGTAACTCTCTAATTAAAAGATGTAACTCAATGTATTATCAAATGTAACTGAGGCCACTGATCCACTCCCAAACAGATTCAATCTTCTATTTCACAAACCTATCATCTCCCAAACAGATTCGATTTTCCTTATAATCCAATACTCATTAATATAATAGTTCGATAATTTCTTAAAATTACATAAGCAATATTGGTCTCATTTGAAAGATCATGAAAAATAAAAAATGTTGATATAAATTTTATAAAAATCGGATCAAAAATAAAAAAGTTATTATCATTTTTTAACAACAAAAGCAAAAAAAAAAAAAAAAGAAACCAGCATACTCCATCGTTTTGCAACCGGGCGCACCATCCTCATGGTGCGCCGGTTGCACGGTATAATTTGCGGTAAGAGTCTCGTGATGGTTAGAATGTATGCAAACTTTACCTCTATTTGTTACCTTTATCCTTGGTGTTTCAATCTGCTGCCTAAACTGTGGCAGCAAGGGATATTATTACTGCTTTTCTGCATACATCTTGATCTTTTTTTTGTCATATCATATGTTATTAATTGAAAAACAAAAATAAAAGAATAGCGCATCAAGTTACAATTTTTAATTCTATTAGGTTACAACTCTTGAAAATCGTTAGTCATAATTATATTTTACAATTTATTTGTTTGTTCATAACTTAATACATTCTCCGTTTCTAAATAATTGCAACAGTTTCCTTTTCCAACAGTTTCAATATGATTGCAACACTTCTAACTTTAGTAACAAAAAATAGCCCAAATAACTGTAATACCCTTGCACCATTTAACTATGCCATCCCAGCACCTATAATATCTTCACCTAGTCCATCTTCCCAATTCTCAACACCCTCGATTTTCACCTCCCCACCCCTACATCTTTCTCACTTCCTTCAGTTTCTCAATCCCCCCCTTCCATCCATCACACTCATCTCTTTCTGTTCCACCCCATCTCCTTTTTGTTCTTTCATACACCCCCCACCCCACCATCTCATTTGTTTTCAATTCTTTTTCTTTCTTTAATTTGGAGTTTCAGCCAACAATCCCGAACGGCTTTCAGGACGAGCCGTTGCCTTTGACGGATTGAGCTACTGAGAAGTAGTTCAATGAGCACGATTTCAAAATAAACACAATTATCATAGTTAGATGTAAAAAAAGTCAAACATAACTCTTCAGTGAGATTCCAGTAATAGGGTTGTAAGAAATTAAGAAATCAGGGAGACATTTTCAAGATTTGTTAAACTTACTTTGCTGCAGAGGGGGTTGTTAGGTTTTTACATAGAAGAAGCAACATGTAAGAACCATGGCCGGTCCAAATTAAAGAAAACTTGAGACCCTGTGCAATAATAAAAAGTGAGCTCTTTCTAACATAGTTGGAATATAATATAGGGATATTTTCAAAAATATTACTAAAATAAAACTTATTTACACAAATACGACAATAGTTACTACAATGTAGTGTCATGGTATCTTATTTACAAATATAAGTTACTATGATTTCATTACTACACTAGTCACTAGTCACATTTTTGTAAACAATCGTTATTTTAGTCATACATATGTAATTATTTCTAGGAAAATGGTCAAATAAACCCTTTAACTATCATTAATTCATCACATAAGCCCGTGTACTAATAAAAGCATCACATGCACACATTTGTTTCATAAAAGCAATCAATTGAGTCAGATTTACCGGAAACCAACCTTGTTAACCGGTTATGTCAAAGACAGATTCCAACATTTATTTATTTTTTCTTTTCTTTTGCTTTTCTCTTTCCTTTTCTTCCTTCTACTCATCCCATCCCATCCGCCTCCTTCTAAGTTCTAATGCAACTCCAATTTTATTGCTTCCATATCTAATCTCTCTTATCACAGACACACACACATATACTACGTGTAGTATACTCCATATATGAGAATGGGAAAATAAGCTTTGGCCATGGAGTTTTTTCAGTGACGCCTTGGCCTCCAAGTCGTATGATAAGATGTCAAGATCCCTGTAATTTGTGATAATCTCATGTTATAGTTTGCTGCAAAGGAAATTATGTTTCATGAAGAACGACCCTACAAGATTCATCTCTTGAGACACCTTTACAACGATGAATCTCCAGTGCACGGTGTTTGTGGAAAGCAACACCGGTGGGGATAAAGGTGAGCCCGCCGGACATGGTAGCTGTTTAAAGAATTGGGCAGCAGCTATGGTCTATGGAAAAGGGACTATGCAAGAGTCAGTGAGGCCCTATGTGCATACAATTGGAGGCCAAATGCCAAACTCGACTTGCATTTGTGATGAGAAAGAAAGTGCAACTCTTTTGATTCATATGGATAACAAATACGGACATGGCAGTGATGGAGGACATTTTGTTGGCGGGATTGGAAAGAACGAATTAAAAAGGGGATGGGAAATTTTAAAGAAGAAAAGAAAAACAAAAAATGAAAAAATAATAAGAAACAAAAAAGAAGGGAAAACTAGTGGGGGTTGGGTTATGAGAATAAGAAAAAGGGTTACGGAAATCAAAAAAGAAAATGAAAAAATAAATGAGTGAGCAGAAGTAAAGGAAACCTGCTATTCGAGGTTACTTTCAAGTAATAATTTGGGTGAATTGATTGTTTTTTAAAAGTAAATAAGTTTATTTGATGGTTTTTGTAGTACATGAGTTTAAGTGATCTTTATGCAATTGTAGAAGGGTCTATTTGACCCTTTTTCCTTATTTTTATAATACAAATGGAGATTGTATTGGTATAAATTGCTACAGTAACAGCTTATGTCAACAAATAAAACACAAGTTTATATCTTCGTCCCATTAACATTGGTACTTGAAAAGGTGGTGTAATTATTAGGAAAAATAGATTTATGTGATTGTTATTGACTTGATAATATAAAAGTAAAGTAAAATTGATTGGGAACCACACAATATTTATCAAATTTGGTATGAACAATTTCGGTAGGATGGACTTAAAAGGATGTGACAATCTTAAGGCGATGAAGGATGTGACAATCTTAACAAAATAGTTGAAATAAAAGTATTCCTTAACAAGATATGCTTCATATATTTGTTTGATTGAATTATAAATTTAATAACAATCTAATCCAATCCAATTACTTAGTTAATTACAAACCATCTAAATCTAATCCAATCCATTTACTTAGTTAGCAAACACTTCACACTAAAAACTAAAAATTCGAAGGTGTGCCAGTCACACCTGTGGCTTGTGGGTAGCTGGGTATTGGAAAAGCAAAAAAGATGCATATTAGGGATGGTTTTACTTAGACCGTAATTTGTTGGTCTGGTCTAGGATTGAAAACAATAAAAGTAAAAACATCCTAAAAGGATGAGTGTGTGGTCAATTTTAGGGAAGCGCATTTAATTAGGGATTGGAAAAGTCAAAAGGATCGGCTAATGAAGCACGCATGTCGACATGTGGCTATTGGGCTCTTATTACACTAGTAATAATAATAATAATAATACAATGAAGTATTAATTACTTTTAGGCCTTCAATTTTTATGGGCCCTGTGCGGCCGGGCTGCCTGCCCTTGCTTTGGGCTGGGCCTGGTAAGAACAGAGAGATTATACAGAAAAAAGGAAGAGGAAGCAGTTTCATTGTCATGTTACTGAGACAACAGGCTTGTCTTTGCTTCTTGTAAACGAGGAAAAAATAGGAGGAAAAAAGCTTTGATCAAAATTTCTTAAAATGTGTGCCCATCGTAATGCATCTATCACAAAATGTGTACCCATTGTAACAAGATTTTTCCATCATTTGCAATGGAGCCAAAGATTCATTATTTTTTGGCTTGAGATTATGATGGAATAAAGCAAAATGGCTCACTAAACTATCTGCGCTTCTTTGTTATGAAGCAGCAGTCATTCTATGCAATTTTGGATGGGATTTTCACTATGGGTCATCCGGAAACAGTCTCTCTGTGCTTTAGTACAGGAGTAAGATTGCGTACATCCGACTCCCCTTACCCCACCGTAGGTGGGAGCCTTTGCAGCACTGGGGTAAATGAAAATGAAATGAAAATGATGATCTTTTTGTGAAATTGGAAAAGTAGAAGCAGAAAGAGGGTGGGTGCTACCCTGAGATCTTGTGAGATATGAATTCATCAATTAGCTTTCTTTACCGTTTATATTATTATATGCTGTAGGCTGCTTCAAGGGGAGAAGAAGGAATGGCTCTGTTCTTTGTTTGCTGCAACCCAAGCTGTGGCTTCAAGTGGAGGGATTAATAAAACTAAAGTGTTTGACAACTTGTGGGTGGGGATTGGGGGGGGGGGGGGGGGGGGGGGGGGTAATGCTCCCTGCATGCGCTTTGCTTTGTTATCAGCTATAGGAATAGGTCTTGGGCTACATGAATTTTGTATTTTTTTGTGCATTCATATGTATCAACCATTCATTTGGTAGTGAAAAGTTCAATTACTTTTAAATAGCCAATGGGTGTCACATGAATGTATACAAAAAAAATATCGATATCATGTATCCCTATCCTTACTCGAGACTTAAATGGGTTGCACATGTATACAAAAAAATGTACCTTTACTCCATCTAGACTCTAGTGTTGAGGTCCTCTGATGAGATAAAACTCTTGAAAACTTTATTTCTCCTGATTGTATTCTTAGGCGGCGCTAGTGATGGACCGGTTTCGGTCTGCCCGGCCCGGGAACCGGACCGGCTCGCCACTGTGCGGGCCTGGCCTGGCCCAGCGGCCAGGGCCTAGGACCTGATCCAGGGGTATTTTGGGGGCGGGCTCGGACTGCAGGGTTCTTTGGAACCGACCCGTCCGGGGCAATTTTTTTTTTCAAAGTCTTTGGGTGGTGGGCGGGTTGGGCTGGGTGTTTTGGAGGGGGGTTGGGGGTGGGGATAGGAATTAATTAAAAAAGCAAAAAAAAAAAAAACGCTACCCGACCCGGTCCCGGTAAAATCCCGAGCCGGTTCCGAGCCTTAACCCCCAATACAAAAGCCTGGTTTGGACTGGCCCGGACGGAACCGTTACATGCGGCATGCCTAGGCAACGCGTCAAAATTCCTCTTGTTTTCTTGCTTTTCTATTTTGTGTACCTTATTTTCAGGTCAGATTGTCGTTTTTATGTTTTTACTTGCTCTAAGAAGTAGAGTTCGTATATCGTAGTCGGTGGTTGTTGTACGGTGTAAACTATATAGACGGTGACATTTTTATAATTTTAGGTGAGACTTGCAACTTTTGTTAATTAAATATCAGACCTATTTCGTTGTTATTAAAAGTTTAATATTCAGTATCGTGATTTTTTATTTTTTTTTCTAATTTTTTTCAAATTATGTATGTAATCAACTCATATGAATTCTAAAGCGAGTCTATTGTAACATGTAGCACTTCCTCTAAAACTTTTATATTTTCTCACTTTCCATTTTCATCCTTAACATTCATCTTTCCATTCCTAATTTTTTTTTGTCATACCCTCAATAATTTTGAAAATAATACAATATTGCAATTACTTTTTTTGGATTTATCTTTCATTCCAGAACATATTTCATTATCTTTCCATAATACTCTCAATTAGGGTTGGACTCGGGTCCGGGCCGGGTCCGGGTCGGGCCTAGGCCCGGGCGGGCCGGCGGGTCAGAAATGGTGGACCCGGGACCGGCCCAGGCCAGGCCCATTTTTTTTTTGTTTTCCTCTTCCTAATTAACCCCCCTCCCACCCCCAACCCCCCAAACCACCCCAAATGGCCCAAAACACCCTGCCCAACCCGAAAAGTTAAAAAAAATTGAAAAAAAAAATATTTTTTGGCTTGAACTGGGCCTGGGCCCGGCCGGGTCGGGCCTTGTTTTGGGTGACCTGAGCCCGGACCGGAAAACCCACGGGCCGGGCTTACCCGGACCGGTCACTGACCGGGCCACCGGGTCGGACCGGAACAGTATCGGTCCCGGGTCGGGCCACCTGGCCCGAGTCCATCCCTACTCTCAATAATTTATATTCTCTTTCAATATTGTTAATCTCACGGTGAGATTCTCACCTACTTTTAAATGGAAAGATATAAATGTTACGGAGACAGTATTATAGTTTTGAAATATGCATTGAAATGAAAATCGTAAGTTCTACAGGATGTTAAAACAATCTCAATGAGCATTATGTCTCCCTTGCGTGTTCCATACACATTTTTTATCGTCTTAATTTTATTAAAAATCAAGCAACTAGTGTTGTTCACTCATCACAAACATGATTTTTTTTTCAAAATCAAGCAAATAGTGTTGTTCCATGCCCATTTTTTATCAAGTCTTAATTTTATTAAAAATCAAGCAACTAGTTTATTTACATAATTAAATATGTGTTGTTGGGATATAATGATATATTATCCTGGTCTGTTACTGTTCAGAAGCCCAGTGCATCGTTCCCATAGGGATGAACTCGGGTCCGGGCCGGGTCCGAGTCGGGCCTAGGCCCGGACGGGCCGGCGGTTCAGAAATAGTGGACCCAGGATCGGCTCGGGTCCGGGCCGGGCTGGGCCCATTATCATTTTTTTTGTTTTCTTCTTCCTAATTAACCCCCCTCCCACCCCCAACCCCCAAACCACCCCAAATGGCCCAAAATATCCAGCCCAACCCGAAAATTTCAAAAAAAATAGTTTTTGGACCGAATCGGGCTCGGGTCCGGCCGGGTCGGGCCTTGTTTTGGGTGACCCGAGCCTGGACCGGAAAACCCACGGGCCAGGCCTACCTGGACCGGTCACTGACCGGGCAACCGGGTCGGGCCGGGCCAGAATAGTACCGGTCCCGGGCCGGTTCCGGGTCAGGCCACCCGGCCTGAGTCCATCCCTACGTTCCCACAAGGGGCCCGAACCACGAGGCCCATGTCGGCCCGTCCGCCCCATTTTGGCATGTTTGGCCCATTAGGATAGCTTTTGTGCCCCTCCCCTTTTTATAAATAGTAGGAGTTCCCTCCATTTGTGGATCCCTCTCTTCTCCTCCTCCACTTCTTCTCCAACTTCTCTCTACATTAGCTTCAAGATTTGTACTATGTAATGGTGAGGAGATAAGCATAATGAGAAGGAGAGTAGTTTGGACATTAACCCAAAAAGTCTCGTTGTTTTCTCCCTGATGGAGTATATTCCCATATACCCCAAGGGTATCATAATCGCCGGCATAGGCATCACGGATTCACCCCAGAGCGCATAAAAGTGCTAAGTCTACGACTGAGACTGACCCCGACCCCAACCCACCAAAGTCAGGGCAAAGCGCCAGGCAACGAATCAGCTAAGGACCGAAGGCCAGTTGACCCCGACCTTGACCCACCGAGGTCAGGAAAGTATCACGCTCGGGAATCAATCAGACACAACAAGTTATGGGCCCGACCTCGAATGCACCGAGCTCGGTACCAATTCTGACCCTAGGCATCAGCATAAAGTCAACCGGAGTCAAACAAAGGAGTCAACGATCTCACGAATAGAACTAGAGACAGAGGACATGTTCTTCAGCGATGAGCCCGAGTCTCCAGATACTAACCGCAGTGAGCTCACGGTTTGATCAAAGCATTATGGACTTAGACAAATATGCGAAGACAGATATCACAAAGGAATATTGTCACATCATTCCTAGCAGCGAGCAGGAAGAATATTCCAGATTGTACATGTGTAATCACACGGACATTCAGGTAGTAGTTTGCTAGGAGCAGTTCCAATCAACAAGCTGTCCCAGACTATCTCTCCAATCACCTTTACACGTGGCTGCTCCCCATCGACTTAGACTGTTAGTTTGTTAAAACAGTTTGGACACGCGTCCTCTTGTCATTAGTTCAACATCTTTTTACATGGACACCAAGTATTGTCTTTTTAGTATAAATATCACCTTCCAGCTTGTGGATAGGGATCGAAAAATATATTCTCTTGTTGTTACTCTGCTAAAATATTTTCCTTAACTTTCCGATCAGCTCTTCTCTCTACTTTCTCGGACTCCGGCTACCCCTAGGTCGGTGATCCATCACCCCCTTTTCGGGTTTCCAAGTTAAACAACTTGTTGATACACATTTATATTTACTATTTCGTGTTGTATTTAAACTCGACAGTCAACACTGACGCCGTCTGTGGGAAATTACTCAAAAAGATTCATGTGTTCTTGATTTTTCAATTTTGATTTGAGAAGACAATTGATTTCCCAATGGTGGCGAGTCAAAATAGTTCATAACGGTAGAATCACTACTCCAGCCGGAAACTACACTTCATGAAGGAAGGCCTACGTAAGCTATAACTGGGCTTAGCAGGTGAGTAGCATGTCATTTGACCTCATCTGCTTGCTTTTTAAAAGTAAGTTTCTGTGGATAACACTTTCAAAGAGACAATTTCTACTTAAATTAAGTACCTAAATGTAAAAAGTTTGAATGAGGTTGAAGCGTGTTTTAAAATGCTTTTCACTTTTTCTATTACATACAAACAATGCTTATTTTATCAAACACTATCGGTTTACTTTTTCGGCAGATTTTTTTTCTCAAACACTATCAACTTTTACTATTATGCATTTTTTCCAACATGAGTTTTTAAAAGTAGAAGCAATTGCAAACACTCCATAAATAAATAGAAGGCATTCTAATCCCAAAAATTCCTTTTGTACACCTTTCTTATACACATCAGTACACCCCCGTATCTGTGAGAGTTTTTTATGTTTGTGAATCCCAATCCACAGACAAAAATAGGCTTGTTTTGTCTGTATAATTTTTCACAGATAAAATAAACCAGTTTTTGTCTGTGGACTGAGAATCACAGACAAAAAGAAAAACTCTCACAGATACATGGGTGTACTGATGTGTATAAGAAGGTGTACACCAAGAATGATTGTTCATCCATATACGGAGTTACATAGTGACTTCCCACTGACCTGAATACATGCAACATACTCCCTCTGTCCCGCAATTAAGTTACCACTTTCCTTTTTGGGTAGTCTCTAAATTAAGTTCACAATTTCTTACTTTCCTTATTTGGCAAATTATCTACATCAAAACAGTGTCAAACAGTGCAAAACAATGTCCAAACAGTGCAAAACAATGTCCAAACAGTGCAAAACAGTGCACTCCACAGTAAAGTCAAATTTATTTTCTTAATATGTGTGAAGTCAAACCAGGAACTTAATTGGGGACGGAGGGAGTATACAATTATATATATACATTGATTATTGGCACAACATATGTATGCTTGTCATACTTAAAGACCAATTTATACCACACATCTGTACAGCTGTTTTGTTCATAACGACAAAAAAAATGACTACATAGACATTTTTAGTTATGTGATGTTTGTTTGCTATCACATCCACATTTATAAATTATACTCCCTCCGTTCCGAATTGAATTGCAAACTATGAACGACACAAGGATTAAAAAATGACAATAAATGATCCTTGCTTTTTATACCTTTGCCCATCCTTCTAAAAGTAGATGCCTTTAAATTAATGGGTAAAAAGTAAAAGTAAGGTTAAATTTGTCACTATTCTTATTTACATACCTAAAATAGAAAATGGAAAACCATTTTGGGACAACCAAAAAAGAAAATTTTGCAAATCAAATTGGGACAGAGGGAGTATATTATATGAATGTGAATATTAATCACGTAATAAATGATATAAAAAATATTACAAATATCAAGACATTATATTATGGACTATTACAAAAAAAGGATGACACCCCATTAATGAGGGGCCTCAACCCCGATCGGACGACACGTTGGGAGAATGTAGATTAGACTATAATCCCAATCTGACATATCGAGGGTGGGTCTATCCACCGTACTTTCAGAGGTCTTATGCATATTTTAGCATAATAACCTCTCATCACAGTTGTCGGGATTCAAACTCGGGACCTAACTCTTATAGTCTTATGCCACTCCCTCGGTACAAGTTGAGCTACGTCTATCGGTATTAGGGAGTATTACATTACTATTACTAGATGTAAAGCCTAACTGAATTTGGAAAATTGAAAACTGAACACGACACCTGTTTATCATACCCGCGTTGAACGCTTCATAAGGAAGTGTTTGTATACCATGTCATAATCATTGTTTTCATTTTTTCCGAACACATAATAATCGGATAATGGAAACATCAATTGTGCTTACACAATGTTATCTTAAAATTAAATTAGTAGAAATTACTTTAAATAGGACTAAAGCTTGAACAAAATGCACAAATAGGACTACATGTATTTTATTACTGAAATAGGATTTATTTAATTTTATTAAAAGTATAAAACTTCCCCTATTAAGAGTGAATAGGTCCTAGTTTAGGAAGAAAACGATGATAGTCCTATATGTGCACTTTGTTCATGTTTTAGTCCTATATAAGGAATTTTCTCATTAATTAGCGATTAAGATAGATTTAAAGGAAAATGATTCCATGAATAATGAAGAATAACAAATTGAGAGTATGTCTAGATAAAATGATTAATGAATTCGAGAAAATATGCGAGTGGAGTGTATAGTTGGAATTGTAAGAAAATATGAATAGAATAAGAGATACTCCGTGTTATGTATTTATAGAAATTACTCCCTCCTGTCCTTCATGTCCCTCCGGTCTCAAATGAAATTCACATTTTGATTTCACATAAATTAAGAAAATAAATTTGACTTTTCTGTAGAGTATACTATTTGACACTGTTTGACACTATTTTGCACTGTTTTGATGTAGATAATTTGCCAAATAAGGAAGAGAGAAGAAGTGTGAAGTTTATTTTGGACCTACCCAAAAAAGAAAGTGTGAATTTGATTTGACACCGGAGTAAGTATATGTTAGGCGCCCACCCCTCCAAATTGCTCCCCTTGTCTCTCCAACAAAATGTTAGGCTTACAAACAGGGGAAAGAAGGAAGAAAAAAATTAGCTTTTGAGATTGAAATCCGGATCGGTCCATCTCGATCCCATAATTCAGAAACCCCGGACCGGTCCCACTACACCCGGTCTTAATAATTCTGATAAGAGTAAGAAAATTTGTCCCAATCCTGATTAAAAAAATGATTGATCCCGATTCAGCCCGATCTAAAGTCCAAGACTATGAGAAAATGATCGATCTAAGTTGATTACCGATTCACTCTTCCTTGTAGGAGGTCCGGAGTTCAATACTCCATGGAGATAGTATGAGTCCAGTTTACTCTCGATCCGCCGAGGTAAAATAAAAATAAAAATAAAAAACAAAGATACCCACTTATTATGCGTAGAAAATAAACTTAATGTACAAATTTATTGTACAAATACAATTAAAACTATTATTCTACACATAACATGTTTTAAAAAAATTGACATATAGAACCAGACATTGTACATAATATACTATTGTAAGTGCAGTGTGGGCATATTTTATTCTGGGTATCATTATGGAGTATTAATTAATTAATTCTGATAAGTTTTTGCAATTGTAGAATGCGAAATTAAGATGAAGCTTTTTTAAACAGATTTGCATCAGAAGAGACGTGGACCACCTTAAATTCGCACTTTGGGGAAACCACCTTTAACATGAGCTTAGCACTATCTTCTTGTTTGATCTGTGCATCTCTCTTTTCCACCAGAACCGCCGCCACAATCCTCTCATATCCGCCTCCACCGCCGGCCACAAACGCTACCAGTGCTGCCTGAATCGGCCCCAGACTCGGATTATACGCCGCGGATTCGGTGTAAGAACCCCTGTACACCTTTCCTTCGCAATCCATCAATGCCGTCCCTGATGGGCATTGTGTGTAAGGCGCGTGCGATTCATTCGCCGCCTCCAAAGCTGCCGTCTCCAAAACGGTTGCATCGTGTAATGAATTGTTCGAATTTCCGTCGTTTAGGTTCTGTTGATCCGCTTCGGAATTCGAATCACGATCTCTCTCGGAGAATCCGTTTAGGCTCTCACCGGTGAGGGTTAGGGTTAAGCCGTTGTGGCGAGGATCCAAAAGGAGCGGTGTTTCGTCGCCGAGGAGATCATCCGGGCCGAAATGGTTGGGGATGAATTGAGATAAGGGCTTGAAATTGACATCGCCGGAGTTTTCAGGTTGGGAGGTGATGAGTAGTTGGAGGGAGGAGGCGTGGCGTAGCTCTTGGAAGAATTGGCGGCAGTGGCCGCAGGGCGCGGCGGAGACGGCGAAAGCGATGAGGCGCGGACAGCGGTGGGATAGTAGGTTGGTGACGAGGAACTGCTCGGCGTGGACGGATTGGTTCAGAGGGAGGCCTGGGAACTCGAGGTTGACCCCGACGAAGACGCGGCCATCGGAACCGAGTCCCACGGCGGCGACGTGGAAGTTGGAGATCGCTGGCCTGGCGAGGGACTGGGCCGGTTGCACCAACGCCGGGAGGAGATGGCGGACGGAGGGGAGGCCCAGTGATTGGGCCATTGACTCTGCATCTGTGGCTTCGATCACGAATTTGGGCTGTTCCATTCTGGTCCTGTGGCAGTGCTATAATAATACAGTAATAATTAATAAACTAAATAAATAAAGGCCGAGATGAATGACAGAGGACAAAATGAGAAGTCGCTGTTGAATTGAAAAGAAGAGAATAGAACAGCGGGGAGGAAATTGGGAGGGAGTGGAGCGGGGTATATATAGAGCGTAATAGCTTTTGTCTGGTTGGAATCCACCCATACTCTCTTCTCCTTTGAAATAAATAAATAAATTTCATTTTCATTTATCCCAGTGCCGCTAAAATAAATAAATAAATTAATTAATTAATTAATATCAATACCCAAATTTGTATATCTTCAATTTGGTGAGATTCAGAGTTAATGGATTGAACATGTTGAATTAATAAATAATTATTTATATTTAAAATATATTTTATTCATTAAGTAAATAATTAAACTTTCCTCTTCAATAAAATAAGTCACCTTCAATGATAAAGTTAACTAGCATTTTATTTATTTTGATTATAGAATTCATCTATCAGATCAAAAATTTGCTTTTGATAAAAAAATTGACTATCATGTTAGATAAACTTCATTAATCAACATTTTATTTAAATACATAATTTTTTTATTTTGCATGAAGAATTGGGAAATTATTAAAAATAAATAACGTCGAACTATATATGGAGGACCAATTTAACTAATTTTCATATATAATTTTTTAATTATTTTATTAATAAAATATATTTTAAATATAACTTTTTCATAATTAAACAAATTCAGCCAACTAAGCCACTTCAACAAGAGTTTAATCAAGTTCAAAACTGATTTGATCAATTTTTATGTTATCAAACGGGATCATAAGCTAACAAATGAACCCTAAATATCATGAGCCTATATTGAGATTATCTTAGCAATTTATGTTCACATGATCACATCTTACAAAAATGTTAATTTTTGTGTAGAATAGACACTACAAAAAAATTCGCCTGTAGTCACGGACTTAGTCACGGACCGTAGTGTAAAAAGTCCGTGACTAACACTTTTAGTCACGGACTTCGTTCGTGACTAGTTCAGTGACTAGTTCTGCGTGACTAGAATGTAGTCACGGACCATTGGCCGTGACTAGGTGTAGTCACGGATTAGTCACGGACGTCGATCCGTGACTACATCTTGACCGGAATAAGCCTCCGGCACGTTAGTCACGGATCGGATCCGTGACTACTTTTAATTTAATTTTTTTCAGTTAGTCACGGACACGAGCCGTGACTAAGTTTAATTTTTTTTTATTTTTATTTTTGTGGTAGTCACGGATACGTTTGTGGTAGTCACGGACGTATCCGTGACTATAATAAATTTAAAAAAATTGAATTTATTCCGGATAAAATGTAGTCACGGATCTGGTCCGTGACTAATGTTTTTGTTTTTAAAAAAAATCGATTTTAAATAAAAAAAATAAAAAACGAAAATTGAATTTATTCCGAATTAAAAAGTAGTCATGGATTTAGTCCGTGACTAATGTTTTTGATTTAAAAAAAACAATTTTTATAAAAAAATAAAAAATTATTTTAATTTTATTTTAGAGCAATCACAATAAAAATAAATTCCATACAATCTTAAACATAAAAAATGTTATTACAGACAGAATTATAAAAACAAAATCCATACAATGTCAAACAATATTATATAATTACATGCCCGTACGTCGGACTCCATTGTGATAAAAATTAGAATCATCATAATCGTATTCATCATCATTATCATCATAGTCACGATGATGATCCTCTTCTGCATCCACGGTGTCCAAGGGTCGGGAACTTCCTCGGCTGCCTCGGTTGCCTCCTCGATTGCCTCCTCGGTTGCTTCCTCGGTGGCTTCCTCGGTGGCTTCCTCGGTGGCTTCCTCGGCTGCCTCCACCCGATGATTGAAACTGATTGAGCATATCAGGCGACAGAGATCCGAATGTCGACCCTATTGCAGGCATGGCACCATAACCGGAGTTAGAGTGGTAACCCATACCACCCATGTGCGGAACCTGAGGAGTCTGCTCAACGTGCATAATGTACGGCCGAGAATGAGGCTGAGGCGGAGGCTGATATCCAGCAAGGATCCGTTCCATTGCTTCCAGCCGGGCCCTCGTTTCTTCATCATTCTTCCGTTGCTGTTCAAATGCACGCTGCTGCTCCTCCAATTCTCGCTGCAATTGGGCAATGCGTGGATCCTCTCCTCGCCTAGATTGAGAAGATGATGAAGCTCCGCTGCCGCTGCGATCGTACAAAATACGTTGCCCCTCAGCCCCGAGGCATGAAAGCCGACCCTTGTACACCCCTGTTGCCTCAAGGATGGCATCATCTTCCACATCAGAATCGATGTCATCTTCTTGAGTCAAGCCTAGTTCCGCCCGCTTCTTTTCAACATTTGCGTTATACTTTGTCTACAAACATTTAAAAAAATTATTCAAATGATATTTACTTCAATTTGAAATAATAGTATTGATGTTACATACTTCGATTTCAGCAAGGCGGCGTGGTAGATTGGCTGGCGACTCAACACCGCTCTTCGTCCAACAGCGTTTGATTACACTGAGGATAGGGACCCTCTTCTTTTGAGGCCCCGCCTACAAGGTTAGAAAAAGGTTTAAATAAATGTAAAAAAATAAAAGGTTAAAATGGTGTAGGTTTATTTGAATAAGACTTACAAGAGCTTCTTTATGTTTACTCTGGGGTTTGCGGCCTTTGTGCCATTGTGTCGTCAATGCCTTCTCGGACATCCGATTTTTCTTCCCGGCTTCGCTTCTAGCCAAGAAAGTCAGATCCGAAGACCAGTGGCGGACGAGGTTTTCCCATACCTCATCCGAACACCATTGAGGCCTTACCCCACTGGCTCGGGCACGCCTAAAAGTGGGGCGAAGCCAGTTTGAAACTCTGGCATTGTAAGCCCTTAGAATAGCAGGACCTTCTTCTTCAGTCCAGCGAAACCAGGCCTTTATTAAAAAAATAAATTAATTTATCATTTGTCAAATTTTAGGTTACATCAATGACGAAAAATTGATTTGTTTACCTTGAACAAGTTTCACCAAAGTTTACGGACCTTAGGATCAACATCCGTGTACGTCGCCCAGTTGCCAAGAAAGTGTCCACCAATTATGATTTTGATTTGGTTGAGCACATCTTGATCGCTTCAAAAAATTAATATTTTTTTATAGTTAGATGATTTGACATTAGATAAAATTATTTGACATTAGATAAAGTTCATAGTTACTTACTTAGCAACCATGTGAGGTGTCACCCATTCCGAATCTTCATTGTTGCGCTCGGCTTGGGTTAAGGGCGCATAGTTCGGGCGAGCACGGGATGTGGATTGTTCATTGCTCATCTAAAATAATTGATTAATGAGGAGTATTAATTTACATTTTCAAATAATTGTGTAATTATAACAGAAGATCAAATTTTGATTTAAATAAAGGCAGTTTTTAAAAAGCAGTTTTTATTAAACAGTTTTTTATAAAACAGTTTTTTATAAAACAGTTTTTTATAAAACAGTTTTTTATAAAACAGTTTTTTATAAATCAGTTTTTTATAAAACAGTTTTTTATAAAACAGTTTTTTAAGAACATTTTTTTAAGAACATTTTTTTAAGAACAGTTTTTTAAGAACAGTTTTTTAAGAACAGTTTTTTAAGAACAGTTTTTTAAGAACAGTTTTTTAAGAACTGTTTTTTATGTCTACCTCAACATTTTATAATTATTAACATGTTAAACTTTTTTGGAAGTTTGACATGAGGGGATATTTTGTTTAATTACTTCGGGAAACTTTTTAATTAAAACGGCTTTATTTATTAAACAGTGTTTTTTCATAGTGTATATTTTATATTAAATTTGAGAAAACTGTTTTTTAATATCTAACTTATTATTTTATAATTATTAACATGTTAAACTTTTTTGGAAGTTTGACATGAGGGGGTATTTTTTTTAATTACTTCGGGAAAACTTTTTAATTAAAACGGTTTATTTATTAAACAGTGTTTTTTCATAGTGTATATTTTATATTAAATTTGAGAAAACTGTTTTTTAATGTCTAACTTAATATTTTATAATTATTAACATGTTAAACTTTTTTGGAAGTTTGACATGAGGGGGGTATTTTTTTTAATTACTTCGGGAAAACTTTTTAATTAAAACGGTTTATTTATTAAACAGTGTTTTTTCATAGTGTATATTTTATTTTAAATTTGAGAAAACTGTTTTTTCATGTCTAACTTAATATTTTATAATTAACATGTTAAACGTTTTTGGAGGTTTAACACGAGGGGGTATTTCTTTAATTATTTGGGAATATAATGTAATTAGGCATACATATTAATTAAACTAACTCATGTTCTTTAATTCATAAGTCCGAAATTAAAAAAGATAATATTTAATCATGCATGTTTAACTTATAATGAAATTTTATGTAGGCATACATATTAATTAAACTCATACACAACCAATATAGGCATGCCAATTAAACATATATACAAACTAAATCATGTTATATTGAGCATATAGAACATGTAATAAACTGAATCATGCAATTATATTGAGCATATAGAACATGTAATTAAACTTATACACAACAAATAAAGACATGCCAATTAAACATATATACAAACTAAATCATATATCTTGAGCATATAGAACATGTAATAAACTGAACATATTAACATGTATTTCGAAAAAACGTGTGCTTAACATGTATTTCAAAAAAACGTGTGCTTCTAATAATTATTGATAACATGCATACAAAAATGAATTTTAATAACATGTACAGAAAACAAGTATTTCAAAAACTAAATTATATTTCAATTCTAAAATTAAAGCAATATTATAAACTAAATGAAATTATATTTCGAAATCATATTACTCCACATGCATCAATTTGAGATACTAACTAAAATCAAATTACATATACATAAATCAATTTGAGCATATTAACTAAATCATATTAAACAATTTGAGAATAATGGGAACACACTTATCGTAACATGCATTTTTAAAATAAAAATCAAATACTAAAAATAAGAATTAAAGGTAAATCAAATTTAGAATACATAACCTTTATGAAAAAGGAAGGAGGCGGCCGACAGTGGCAGAAGACGGTGGCAGCGAACGGCGGCGGCGAACGGCGGTAGCGAAAGGCGGCAGCGAACGGCGGCAGCGAACGGTGGAAGGCAGAGTTCGAGTTGAGATC